TTGACTAATTGACGTGTGTGTGTCACAATAAAATTTTAAAATTTGAAATAGAATTCACTTCAATAATATGGTAGGTGTCACATTATTGTAAAACTTATTAATTGTGTGTATAAACATTACACATGCTCAAAGAATCAACCCTATGTACATATGATTTCTAGATATTATGCTAAAATTTGAAATGCAAAAACTTTGGATGAACACAAAACTATCCGTCAAATAATAAGAGCAGAGCACAATACCGGATTCTGAGAGTCAAGGCAGCCATTGAGAGCTTCAATTCGGCAAGCACACTGCCTAGTCATAGCTCCAATTTTCAAGTATTGTTCCATGGATGCCTATATCTAACCTTTTATGACGTGGCTCCCATTTGCATAATTAGCCTGGAAAAAAAAAAGAAAAGAAAAACACAACAACAATGTCGACCAATTTATTTAATTTAGAATTTGAGTATGTTATTAATTTTTGAGGGTGAGATTAAGAGGACATGGGTTAAAAATTCACCCACCAGGGACTCTTTCAGTGCTTTTTGAGTAAGAACACTCTTTATATCCTTTGAGAAATGATTTATCCTCATCCTTGGATTCTTCATCCCCTGTTTTGAAGTATTCACCTCCAAATCCTGCAAAAGTTCACTCTACCTTGTAATGTTACAGCTCACATCAATAATCACATACATTTATCATATTTGTCATAAAAAAAAATATATATATATATATATTTAAAATAGATGATTTATTTTTTAAAATCATCTTGTTATTCAATTTTAAAAAATAAATAAATACAATAAAATCAGTGATTGTTATTATTGAATCAACTTGATTTTTAATTAATGTTTTACACAAAATGTTACAAAATAAATAATTTAAATTATTTAAAATAGATCCGTGATAAGTCTCATAAACTGGACTGGACCAATCTAAGTCCTTACGACTGGTCATTCTAAAAAATTATGTCACCGGATGAATTTTATTTAGTGTTCACTTTCTGCATCTACAAAATATGTGACATTTGTATGGGTAAAACTCAATGTATGTAGAAAATAAATACGACACTATTATTTTTTAAGTAATGTTATATATATATATATATATATATTAAGTCAATATTTTTTTGTAATACTTTTGTTCTCAAAAGAGTTGTTTCAGTTATATTTATTTAGATCCCGTTTGTTTTTAAAGTAAATGGGGGGATTGATAGTGAGGGGATTAAATAAAATAGTATTTATTTTTATAATAGTTGTTAGTGTAGGAATGTTAAATTTTTTTTATATAAAATAATAAAACAAATAAAAAAATATATAAAAATAAAACATTAATATTTTTAAAAAAATTTCCAATATATAAAAAATAAAAATTTCTATCCCCTCACTATTTTTTCTAATACTACCTCCACTCTTCCATCCTAATCCCCCTTCAACCTCTATCTATATCCATCCTCCATCCTAATTTCTTTCTCAACTCTATAAACAAACACAACATTAAACAATTCCACCTTCATTTGAATCTCCTCCCATCCTTTACACCCAAAACAAACAGGACCTTAGTACGTCCATTTTAATTTTTAAAAATTTTATTACTGCAGGTAACTATCTAGAATATAAGAAATGTATAGATTTCATTCAGGTCATGTAAGAATTTTTTATTTTTAATATGATAAATCATATATATATATATATATATATATGAATAAATGGTGTTGGTGATACCTATGGTTTGGGAAGTGGGTTTTTGAAAAAGTTTTTTTTTTTTTTTTTTTTTTGGCTAAAATAGTCACAAAAAACAAAATAAATTTTTTAACCTAATAAGACAAAACATCACATTCAACTCATAATCATTACATTCTTTCTCTAAAAAAAAAATTAATAAAAGCCAAAAAAATCAAAAACTTTTTTTAAACCAAACTTTTTAACCTCAGACTAAAATAATCAAAAAAATCAAAAAACTAAAAAGTCAACTTACTCCCCCAATGAAGCATAATTATGGAACATTGCAAGGAAAGAAAGGTCAAAAGTATATTTATTTTTTTGTTATTTTAATAATTTCGTTTCAAAAAATATTTAAAACTCAAAGTTAGGAATTCCATGATATTCAAAATTATGTGAACCAATCACGTATTTTTATTTATTTATTTGTTGTTCTTTTCTTCTTAGACCAATGAACCGGATTAGACCTTCCAGTCCAGACGGTGGACTGAGGGCACGGCCTTTTTTTTTCAAATCAATCACTCAATCGAAAGGGACTGTTAAGAAATGGACCTTCGAGGAAGTTTCCAAGCTTTTCAATGTTGACAGCAACCAAATCATGAAGATCATCACCAGCCCAGACAGGGCAAATACAACAGCATATAATCACAGCCGTTGCTCCACCGATCAGGATTGTTGATAGCCTGACGTTGGCCTGGTCCAACACCTCATCGTCTCGATAACCCGACACACATATCAGACAAAATGTTAGTATGAATATGAGCAGCCCATAGTCATATCTTGCCTTCATTTTGGGAAAAAATCTCATGAATGTCACCACAGCAGCTGCATCACACAAATTTATTTCAAGTAGTAAGCAACTGGGACGATTATCTAAACACTTCATCAACTTACACAGAAACAAATCATAAAACTAGAGATACGTGTTTGAATTGTGTCTGATTCTATAATTGACTTTTATGTTTTAGACTTTTTCAAATTGAAATTAAAATTTTGGTTTGTGTAGTGAAATTACCAAATAGGAAGACAAAGAGGCCGAGTACCAATGGTTCGAATGTCTCTCCACAAAAGCTAGATATGCGATGAGCACCAACAGCTAGACCACCAGCAACAAATGTAGCCACACTCCTATTTACACCTCTCCCAAGTGTTGCTCCTGCCAAAAATAAAAATAAATAAATAAAATTTTAAAAATCTTAAAACCCATCAGTCTTGAACTTTGAGCTTCATTGATCTACTAATGAACAACAATGCCCTTACAAAATTTGAAGAAATAATAATGTTATAGATTCAAAAAAAAAAAAAAGAAAAAAAAAAGGCTGGTTTGATAAGTAGTCGTGAAATGAATTGTGTAAACAAAATGCATTTTAATATGACTCTCATCATGCTAAATTTAAATCTACCGTACGTTTCGTTTCGTTCCACTTTTAACTTTTTATGTTTCTATAGATAGACTAAATATGAATATGAATATATCGACCGATTCTTATTGACATTGATCCATGTGTATCCCGATCCCATTATTTGAAAATATGGTTTTGATATGCCAATATACCTACCTACAGAAAATTCGAAGACGACGACAACAGTCATGACAGCCCACATAGCAGAGATGCCAAAGCCTTCATAGATAGGATCAAAGTAGTAGAAAAGGGAGACCAAACAAATTGCTAATCCTACTTTGAGTGAATGAATGACTCTTCTTGGATCTTCTTTTCCCAGCCTCTTTGCCTCCTTGAGAAACTCCATGACCTTGGACCTCAACTTGTCACGCAATGCCTTAAACCAATTTGATACACGAGAGAATGGTCCTACATTCTCATTACTTGGAGTTGCCATTTCTTTTGAAAACCTCAATAAACCAAATCTCTCTCTCTCTATCTCTCCCTCTCTTAAACACACATACAGAGAGGACTGAGTTTGTGAAGTTTTCTTTTTTCTTATAGGTGGAAAATATAGGTGGGAAAAAGAGGGAGTCGGCAGAAAATTACCAAGGCTATGATGGCTACATATGTCTATGTTTTTTTTGGATACATCGGAAAGGAGCTACATATGTCTATGGAGTGAGAACATAACATAGATCTCGATATTTGTAAGAGTAACGCTAGCACTTCGATATTTTACCAATATTTTTGTGGAACATTTAAATTTTAATTTATAAATTTATATTCTATTAAATTTTAATTAAATTTTTTTAAATTTTTAAGTCACGTTAAATTTATATATTATATAAGAAATAGAGAATTTCTAACCTACAAATCTTGTGGAAGCTCCAATATCTTAATTTTTTTGATTTTTTGAATTAAAATAAATAAATAAATAACATCAACATTTATTAACTTCTCTCAACTTACAAGCCTTTTTGATTTCTCTCTTATTTATTGCATAACTCTTTTTAACTTCTTTCATACACTATAGTTAGTTATAGGGTTGTTAAATTATTTTTAAAAAAAACCTAAAAAAAATAATTTGTATATTAAAAAAATATCTAAAACAAATATAAATATATATATTTATCTGTTTATCTATGGTCTCGTTTGGGAAGTTGGCTATTCTAGTAGGCTATTTTGGTAACTAAAATATTTGTGTTTGGAAGAGAATTGGATTTTTTTATAGTTGGATGTAATGTTTGTGAGAGAAAAAGTGAAATAATTATGAATTTGATATAACATTTTGTCTTATTGACTATTTTAGCCTATTTTGTCTTTTTATGGATTTTAGCCCAAAAAAAGCCAAACATTGGCTTCCCAAACATCCACTATATATTATATAAGGAAAAAAGAAACTTTTAGTGACAAGGCTTGTGCTTGTGAGAGTTCTAAAGTCTCATTCCACAATTACTAATTTTTGTGATTTTAAAAATAATTCTATTGGCTAACAAAGTAGTTATAGATTAAAAATAAATAAAAAAACACCTAAAATTTTAAATTACAAGTTCTTAAAATCTTTCCTTCCAATGTTTTCTCTTTCCTAAATCTCATCTCATAACAAAATAACTATACATTAAAAAGCATTATACATTTAAAAAAAAGAATACAAATCTCATCTCATAACAAAATGATTATATATTTTACCAAAAAAACATTATAGATTAAAAAAAACATAAAACCACAATTGTTAATTTTTGTAATTTTAAGAATAGTATTATTGGCTAACAAAGTAACTATAGATTAAAAAAAAATCTAAAATTGCTAACTTTTGTAATTTAAAAAATATTTAAAAATAATATTATTGGCTAACAAAGTAACTATAGATTTTAAAAAAATAATAATAATAATTGAATTAAAAGTTCCAAAAACCTCTCCCCTAATATTAATCTCTTTCCTAAATCTCATATTCTATCTATTTATCTCTTTCCTAAATCTCATGTTCTATCTATCTATGCTATATATTATACCAAAGTGACTTTTCATCTTAGAGACTATAAGTGTTTCAAAACCTTAAATCTAATTTTTTGAATTTTTAATTTTTATAAAAAAAAAATTAAAACATCTATTGGCTATTCCAATAACATAAATATTAACCTTCAAAATTATTTAATACAAATATATTACCGATAAAAAGAAAGAGAGAAAGAAAAAAACACATAATTCTCAATCTCCAACTCCTCAAAGTAAATCAAGCTTTTATTTAAAAAAAATATAAATCTCATACAATCTTTTCTCTCCTAAAATAAATTTAATGAAAAGGAAACAATGTCATCTGCCATAAAATATATACTATTAACATCAACTGGTCTAATTTATAAAAACATACAATTAAACCTAACATAAAATAAAAATTAAACCTTGTATATATCTAGATTCTCTCTCTACTCCATAATTAAACACAATTTTATTCCCAAATAAATTTAAGCATATCTATGCTATATATAATTTTTTTAAAAAAAATCTCATAATTTTTTATTTTTTATAATGATTCCATTATTTATAATTTAGAAAAGGAAAGATGAAAAAAATTATTCATGTGCACTCTTTCTATAACTAATTATTTCTTCTATCAAAAAATTCAAACCATCATACATTATACTTTTTTCAAGCTATTCATATCTTCCTCGCCCTATAAATATTATATTCATGGAACTATGTCATTTTTTTATAACAAAGCATAATTTTAATTGTTAATTGTCAATACAATAGTTTTAATTTATCTATACTATAAATTATAGTAAATGAATATTTAAAACAAAACTCTTAAACTTATATATAAAATTTTATTTACGAGAGATAAAATTTTAAAAATTAAAATAATTATCTAAATAATATATTATTTTATCCCGTGCATAGCATAGGTTACATGCTTGTTTTTAATAGTCAAAATTACCCTTCAAACAATAATTGTTCATCATTATGATTATCTATAAAGGAATATGATGATTTGACATTTATTTTGATTTTCAAAACTTTAAAACATTAACTCTCAAATTGAAAAATAAAAAAAAAATTATGTGCAAAAAAAAAAAAAAATTGTGTCTATAAAGGAGCATGATGATAAAACATTAATGTACAAAAAAAATAAAAAAATAAAATGAAAAAACTGATAATGTTCTCAGTTTTAAAGCTTAAAAAAAACTGATAATGTTCTCGATTTTATTGGATAGTTGAATCAAGCCAATGAGTAGAAAGGTAAAAATATTTAATCTCGTACTCTGTTTTTTTTATCAGTTAATGAAACAATTATTTGAAACATTACAATATAAAATCGATAATGTTCTTAGTTTAAAAAATTGAAAAAAAATGATAATATTCTCAATTTTACTAAATATGACTTATTGGTTCAAAAAATCTTATACAGGACTTGAGCTGCTATAACATTTATAAATTGGACTTTGAGATAATTAACTCTATTTTGGTGATCAAATGTTCATGTGATAATTTTAATAGAAATATTAGTAAAATATTTGGGACACCTAATATTTTCCTACTTATAATAAGAAAAATTCGCTTTACCCATTAAAATACTATTTATCTTGTATTCTGGATAACGAATTTAGTTAGAGATTTAAAAAGAATTTTTTTTTTTAATGAAATGTGAATGAAATATTATTATATTTCATAATTTTTTTCCCTCTTTTTCAAATCTCTACTTAAATTCATAATCCAAACAAAGCTTTATTCATGTTATTTTTCAAAGGACAAGTTTTGACAATAGACTATTTTAGCCAAAATCAAAATATCAATACCAAAAGTCAATTATTTTATCTACTCTTTTATATGTCTTTTTTTAAAAAATCAAAAATCAATTTCTAGTTTCCAAAACAACCCTTAGTAAACAATCAGTTTAAATAATCTCAAATTATTGATATTAGTTCATTTTATTTCAAATTGTTGATGTTTTGAATTTTTTTTTTCTTGCAAAATATTCCATTTATTGGCATACACGTGAATCAGGAATGTGATTGAACGAGAGTATTGATGTACTTTGTCGAAAACACATCAATATACAAATCGAAAATTTGTATAAAAAAATCATAAAGAATGAGGTGATAGATTTATATTCCTTCATTTTAAATCAAAAGACTCGTCAAAATTACTTACAATTTTCACAATTTCACTATTAAATTCTTCTAATATTTTTTGTATAAATTTTTTTATTTACTATTCATTTTCCAAACATACCATCATCTTCAAATTCTGCCAACGACGTGAGGAGGGATGGTGGTTAGTGGCTTCGGTGATAGTCGGTGGAATGAGAAACTAGAATTTTAAATTTTAAAATTTGAGTATTTTTTGATAATTTTAAATAAGACTATTAATAAAAGGAGATTTTTTTTAAGGTCCTTTATATTAAGAGTTTATAGCATAAAAGACATTCAATATTTTCATAATATCTAAGGTCCTTTAACATCAATTTAGAAAAATTTCAATTCAGAAAATTTCTCTCCGGAGAAATTCTGGACTTCCTAAAGAATTTCTCTGGGTTCAAACAAGTGAAATCCAAAGAAAATTGAACAACACAGAGAAAATTACTCAGAGCAGAGAAAATTGAAATTTCTCTGAGTTCAAACCAGAGAAATTCAGAGAAATTGAACAACATAGAGAAAATTAAACAGGGCAGAGAAAATTAAACATGCCATAAAAGAAAAATGAATAGAAAAATGTACACTTCTCTGCGAATAGAGTGTCTCCAAGGAATCAGCCTTGGGCGAGGAAGATTGTGCTATTTCCGAATCCATTGTTTCATTCAACACTGCCTAAAAATCATCACAAGTTCTACAAGACAAAGTCTTCGCACAAGTTCTTGATCAGAAGGTCTCGGTCGTCGCTTTCTCTTTCTCACTCCCCCACCAGATCTACGAACATGAGCAAGAAGAATGCTTTGAAGCCTTTGTCATCAACTGCTGCGAAGTTACATAGATTGTTTTCGCCTTCGAGATTGATGAATAGATTGGTGTCGCCATTGACGAGCAGGAAGACTGTGCAGAGGAGTGATTATGGGCTAGTGATTCGTCCCTGATTCAATTCCCATGTGATTCAATGGTCAGAAGGTTAATTTTCTTTTTTCATTGTCTATGTTCGCGTTTACTAGTTTCAGCGACCTGAATTCATGCTTTTTCTTGATCTGCGATGATTTTAACGGTAAAAAATTTCTCTATGATATATGGGTGTAGGGTTGAGAGACTTTAGACATTATAAAATAATATTGTGAATCTCTTTTATTACTAAAAATGAGAGAATGACCTTAAATTAATTTTTCCTCAATAAAATTGGGAAAAATTGAAAAATAGAGAGCAGTGAAATGTTTTTTTGTGATAGAACTACCCAAAATCTAATGGTTTGAAGGAAAATTATACCTAAAGGATGTATATGATATACACTTCATAACAACAAACAAAATTT